AAATGACAAAAAGGCATGGTGTTAGATATTTTAACTTTGTTGTATTTACTTTCTAATATTGTAATGGAAAGTGACTTCATATTCTAATGAAGTCACTTTTCAATAAGACTTCTCTGTGTGAAATAAAACAGGGAGAAAAAAATAGCCCTTGCTGAGTTTCTTGCCGGTTCTTCTCAGTACAAGGTCTCCCGCCGTAGTTTTGCGAACCGATGGCGTAGTTTTCGACTTTCACAAGTGCTCTGTAAAAGCCTAAATTGAATAAACAAATTTTGATTTTGATTTTGATTTTGATTTTATAACACTCTCAATCATCCCTAATTAAAAAAGTTAATAGTATTAAGTATTCCATAAAAAAGAATCATAGAAATCGGCATAGAAACACCTAAGTTATACATGAAATACGCTAATAAATAAGCCATCGCGCGTGAATACTGAATCACGCTAGAAGGATTGTTCTAGCCAGTATTTCATCTATACTAATATTATAAAGCTGAAGAGTTTGTTTTTTTGAAAGCGCTAATCTCAGGAACTACTAGTACGAATTGAAAAAATATTTTTGTGTTGAATAGACCATTTATTGAGGAAGGCTTTAGGCTATATAATCAATAATAAAACTTTAGCTTCGATCATTGCCGAAATAATACCTACAATTCCGTAAAACACTTTGAGAACCGCTGGTCTAAGGCAACATAAATATTCCCATTCCAACGCATAATCCTTCAAATAGGTATTGTAAATGCTAAAGTTTGTATAGATGTATATTTGATAAATGTATTGTAAAAATCAAAGTGTAAGCCACACGGGCGTAGACGCTAGCAGTAAGCAGTAGATACATTTTATGTTTATTTCAGAATACCAATTTTAATAACACAATTCTGTAACAAAAGGAAATTGGATCCATACATCACATACACAAAACAAAAGGCACTATTTCGCTAGTATCGGTATTTCAATTGGAATTGCTCCGCGACCTCGTCGTTATCGCTAGGCATAACAAATGTCTCTGGCACATTTGTTTGTCAGGTTAATAGTCAGTTTATTGGCTATTTTTATCTAACTGACTATTTTAATAGACATAAATTTCATCTCACTTAAGTTCTGAGTAACTAATACATATTAAAGATTTATATATACCTCAGATATACATAAACTGTTGATGCCAAATCAATCAAAAATTATATTGAACAGCGAGTATCTACCTAATTCGTAATACAATGTGTTTTTTTTTTAATTCTCATGATTTTATATGATAACCTCCGTTTGACTTCCATAGCAATTTCTTGAATAAGAGTATGAGTATTGTTTATCACTTTTTAATGGTTTGAAGTCGATTCTACTTTTTATTATAAATTTTTAATCTCTGTGGGTTGGAGTTTGGCATAGTACGCTTTAAAATTTTGTTAAATATCACCTCGCCTATGTTACCAAAACCCCTAATTCATATTATCTTGAATTGGATCTTGAAAACAATTTCCATAAAACCATGTAATAGCTTAAAGCCGTGAAGGGCTTTAAAATTTAATGCTTTATCTTCTTTTTAAGATAAAAATATTAACTAGACTAGTTACTTAGTTTTATTAGTTTTCTGTTATTATGAATATAGTAGGGGAAGCCCGGCAAGACGAATATGTTAAAGGAAAGGCTAGAAAAAACACACAAATTTCTAATCAACAACAGTTTTTTTTAATAATAATTTGTACTTTAGTTAATTATCTTTGGAAAATGCTAGTAAAAACTTAAACAACTTCTAAATAAATTTATAGTTACAAAAAAAAGTGCCTATTATCCGTTTTGCCCGACCCCCCCGGGTAAAACGGATACACCCACAGGGCAAAAAGGATAAGTAAAGCAATTGGTATTTTAATCGTCACAGTAGTAGCTGCCTACCCCTAAATAAGAAGTAAATGGTAGTTGCATCAAGGTTGTATTTTTCTACCAGATCCCAATAATTTGTATAAAAAAACTCAACTTGTGGTTTGTTGAAACCTCTTGTTCTTGCCAGAGATGTTGGCTCCGGTGATCTAAGTACAATTTCTGGGTGTCGACTCTTGAAACCAGAAAACCAGTCATCACCTGCTTTACCATTTTTGAATGAATGAGCGATATTATTTTTCGTTGCGTATTGATACACCAGTTTTAGGAAATCTGCACGAGTTAGGCCAAAAAACAGGCTGTCTAATTTTTTCAAGTACGCGCTTAGCTCTTTTTCTTGCTCCGGCGAAAAAACCGCTGTAAATCTACGCAGTTTCTTTTCCGTGTTTCCTGACTTTACATGTCGATGCAAAGTTGTAAATGGAATTCCGAATTCAGTAGCGGTAGATTTAATAGATTTCCCTGCTTCTTTTACCGCTTTTATTGCTTTCTCAAGTGATTGTTCTGACCATGCTTCTCGATCACTTTTGCGTTTGTATTTATATACCATCTACAACGAAATAATCCTGTATTTAATCTAATACTAATAATGATACTAATTACTCACATACTACTATACCTATATGCTAATGGACTTAAATAAATGTGTTTAATTTCGAGAAAAACATACTATCGAACTATCCGGGCAAAACGGATAGCTATCCGTTTTGCCCATATCCGTCTTGCCCAAAGCACTAATATTCAAACGTTGTATTAGCCTACTGCAAAATTTCTAACGACGAATGAAAAGTTACAAACACAAATTAAACTTCAAAAAACACGCAATCGCTCAAACAGAGTCTGTTCGTTAACACTTAATACATAATACAAAAAATCAAAACACATACCTTGCCAAAAATCGTAACAAAACAGCAAAAAACTTTTATTATTATTTTCACAACAAGTGCACGCATCTATTGTTTTGGTTGAACTGTAGGTTTTTAATAAAATCGAGTATTCGTCTTACCCACACTATGCATCTTGCCCGGGTTTCCCCTACCTATTTGTTTTATTATCAATGAATTTGTATGATATGACATGACGTATTGATCGATTAACAAAGAGTTATCTCTTTTTGTAATCTCTTGTGCAATAGAAAGTGACTACATTTTTTAATAATAATAATAAATCTTTATTGAGTAACTACGTAGCGTAAAAAATCAATTTGCCCTGTCTCCCAAATTAGGTTGCCCTGTATGTCAGGAGTCAGTGCTCTCTTAAGTATTACATTTTGGCTTATGCAGACTAAGAAATTAAATATCAAAAGAACAAGAGAGATAAAATAAATAAATAAGACTTTTAACATTTACAAATTATTCTAATAGGTTAACCATGCTAGAACCAGATGTGCGTGCGTGTGTGTGTGTGTGTGTGTGTGTGTGTGTGTGTGTGTGTTTGTGTGTGTGTGTGTGTGTGTGTGCATGTGTGTATGTGTGTGTGTGTGTGTGTGTGTGTCAATTTTTCACTTGAATTGAATATCTCTATATGAAATGTATAAAAAAAGACAGCCCTTGCTGAGTTTTTTGCCGGTTCTTCTCAAGGTTTCTCGCCGTAGATTTGCGAACCGATGGCATAGTTTTCAACATTCACAAGTGCTTGTAATAGCCTAGACTAAAATTTAGTCTTTATTCTCTTAGATTAAAGTTTAATCTAAGCTGTTACTATGACTAATGAATTTAATAAACTATATTGAATTTGAATGCGTCGTATGTTTGTCTATTTAAAAAAAATATTTGATCAACTTTTATATTCCAATGGTATATCTATAAGAATTTAATAAAAAGTTTCTTCTTATAGGTTCGTCATCAGTTATATAAAATTTAAATTAAATTTAAATGCTGCACTGAAAATTAAATATCTACTCCGCAATTATACTACGTTTTCACAATTTCATTGTTTTGATAGTGTCTGACGATTACACTAACGAAATGTGTGTATGTACAAGAAAGATAAATATAAAATTTATCAAAAATAATAAAGAACTTTTATTGCCCCGGACGACCTTTACTGTAATATTTTATCAAGTAAATAACATATGAAATCCATGTTTTGACCTAATTAGACAGCTTAAACGTTTATAGTTTTTATTTACATCTACATTTGAATTAATATGAAATTTATTTCTTTGATCACATTCAAGTTTAGTTCTAAATAAAATGATGCTTATCCGATGCTATGCAACCATCGGTATAAACTTGAAGGTCTCTTACGCAATTTAATCTCTCTTTTGGATAAAATAATAATGTTCACCCATAGAATGACGCATTTTGTGGATACGCATGTAAATATGCATGTAAGTAGTTCAATTATCATGTTTACCTTGACCGACCTCGTACAGTATGCATTTCATTCATACAGTCGTTCCGTTGTTAAAATAAATTGTTTATGGTCACGTGCTTTCCGTAAAATTGCAAAGCATTAGTATTGATGACAAAATTATAACAAGCAATTTAAATACATAGGTAATATCACTTCTTACTGTTTTTATAATGTGATGATTGAATACTAAATAATGAAAATTACTTACCAACTTACTCATAAGTAATTTCCATTTTTTTGAGTTTAGTTTACTGATGAGATGATGAAGTGTTTATAATCAATTTTTTTTTATAATTAATAATTATTTAAATTTGGTGTTGCCAGATTTCACAAGTGCTTTGTAACAGCCTAGATTGAATAAAGGATTATTATATTTTAACAATTTTACATTCACAATGCTATACTGAAAAATATTCTTAATTAAAAATGTTTAAAAAACCACCTTGTCCGTGGCACTCTGAGATGGGATTCGAACCAAATGACCTTTCGTAATCCGGACGACTGTTCGCCACAGAGATACCAGGGACCTAACAGGACTAACGAATTTTTCAAGCACTTGTTACTTTTTTGCTACTGGAGAGCGTATTTTCATCAATGTTCATCAATCTACCCAAACAGCCGAAAGAAATATTTTTACAAACATTTAAACTTTCTATAATGGTGAAAAATTTTTGTAATTATTATATTTTAAATATATAATTATTACTTTTATTTCAACCAACATTCGTTCGCATTCTCCATGTGCCTGTTTGTTGTACACTCAATCAGTCAGTCTGAAAACGCGATTGGTCGACGAAAGACGCACGCCGCCGACGCGCCGAAGACGGGAAAACTTTACGATGTCGAAATAAAAACTTTTTCATTCTAACATTTCTAATTGTGAATACTAATGTGATGGTATTATTTGTACTGTGAAATTTTATCTTTCGCCATGATCACCATCAAATGGATAAAGGTAAGAATAAGTGATTTTGTTATTCGAAGATACTTAGTATATCTGGCATTTTTTCACTTTAAATTATAATGAGACTACATTTTCTAAGATAATCGAACGTGATAAAAAGGTAAGATTGTTAAGGATAAATATTTTTTTTAGATACAAAAAATTTAATTCAATTATTATAAAGAATTATTATTTACAATAAACCCATAGAAAATTTATCGTCAAAATGACTGTACGCGTATAACGGTAGATAATTATTAAATTAGCACTAGAAAGTTGTAATTTGGCATGATTTTACACGTTAATAACGCCGGAAAAGTGGTAAAATAAATTTCGACAAAAAATCTTTAGGGTAACTCCCCTACGTGTAAAGTGGGGATGACAATTTTTTTTTCGTCTTTCCCTTATTGTGGGGCGTCGTTGGATAGGTGGATGCGATTAGTCAAGTGTCCCCCCCTTCTACCAACTAAACGTTCGATGGTAAAATTGAAACGTTACGGCAGTGTATATATTAAAGAAAAACTATCACACTTTAGTTGACTTTACAAGTTTACGAATAATAGTCGACCAATTGTATTTAAATCGAAAATTTCGAACAACTCCAAAGAAAACAACATAGATGATTTTTTTTTAATGAATAATGGTATATAAATGAGTCCGACTCACACTTGGCCGGATTTTTTGGTGTGTTTACAACATTTCTATAAAAGATAAGTTAAAAAAAAAGTTATTTTCATTAGATACTACACAAGCCATGCAAAGTCGGGACAGACTGTAAGCTTTCAATATATTACAATGTTGCATCCTACTCCACGGGCAGGCGATAAGAACAACCTTCCATGTATTTTATTCTCATGAAGGAAAACGAAACGCAATGAGTTATTTTATTTATATTTATTTCCGAGGCCTCCGTAAAATATTCTTCTAAGTACAATGGAATAAATAGATAAAATTAAATTGATATGAGTTACCGTGACTCTTACATTTTGGAAAATATTTTCAATAATAGTTTGTAAAATATACTTTTTAGAAATTTAATAACCCGATATATTAATAAGATGTTTAAATACATATTCAGGTATGTAAATAAAAAGTAATAAAATAATTAAAAGGCTTAATTTCTATTTTACATCATCAATTCATCACAGATTTTAAAATTTTTAAATTGTTTGCTTTATAAAATATATTAATAATATGGTCAAAGTAAAAATAAAATATTTGTATTTTACGTTTATCTTTAAACCAGTGTATTTATTAAATTTTGTACTGTAAATTATCGTGCTGCCTATATTCAATTCACCCACTGAAAACATATCGTCCTTGTGGCCTCTAAAAACTGTTATTATATTAATTACAAGGTATTTGTATTTGTGATTAGTATGTATTTTCAATTCACGATTCATTAATCCACTACGTAAGTATAAGCTTGAATTGAAATATTGTACAACTTATTTTAACAGATTGTTATATTCTCAATATTTCTGGTTTTACATTAAGATGAGATTTGCAAAATGAATTAACAATTATATTGTAGCTGTATATACTCTGTATGTTGATGGAAATCACATTATTTGTTTAAAATATCTTAGCGTACAGAGAGCGAGAAGCGACTTTGTTTTATGCTATGTATAGATTGTAACTTATCATTATTTAAAATGAGAGTTATAAATGATAAATTCTTAAACGATATGTGACTACAATACATATCCAAAGTCCTTTCCCAAGGATCACTTTATCTGTTTACCAAATTTAATTAAAATTGGTTCGGTAGTTTTGTTGTGGAAACGTAAAAGACCGAGTTACTTTCGCATGGATTTAAATAACTGTATCTATTACGATAAAGAGATCAGTGTAGGTCCATTTATTCAAATTCTTAATAATACATACCCATTGTCGTTCAAAAAAACAAATTAAGACAATGTTCGCTCTTAGAATTTTATATTACTAAACAAAAGTGACATAATATATATTCTAGTGGTTTCCTTTTCTCGAGCAACATTTGTCAAGTTTGGCTTAAATTTTATCCAATGAAATGTTGCCCGAACTTTATGTCACTCATCCATAAATAAAATCCATTCTCGCAGTCGATTTTTATGACGAGCACCTGACATGTTAGAAAACTTACTTTGGGTTTCAAGTACGCTTGAATGATATTTTAATTTCAAACTTGCTCAAAGTAATACATTTTATTAAATGACTTGCGTCTCTATGTCCATGAGAACGCCTTAAGACCTATGATATTATGTAAAAAAAACACAGCCTTTTTTCCTCGCGATCTCTCTCCTAGTCGGTCCCTTATAACTGAGAATTGTGGCCAGCATCAGGGTTGAATCTGGTGTGAATGGTTTGCCTCCACTGGTTCCTGTCCAGTACGACTTTTACGACGGTGTAAAGTTTGAGCGATGATGTTTTAGTTGGTGATCGACTGCGTGATATTTTGCCTTCCGTTCATTTTCGTCTTCAAGAAGGTTTTATTTGATTGAACTTCTAAATTGTGACTGAGTCGTGCTAGACGTTGCATTCGACGGTGATTTTTTTAAAGCAAATCTTTAGGTAATTATAACTTTTGCTTCAATGACATTAGTAACTCTTTCTTTTAGGCTTACCTATTTTTATGGCTTCTGACAACGAACATGTAGTTTTCTAAGTAGTTATGTTGTTAAATGACTTTAGAAGGTTTTCTTTTTAATATTGCGAGCTCCTTTTTAAAGGAAAGACTTCAACGAGATCTACAGGTATGTCACCATTTCACCTGACTGTATATATTTTTTATTTTAATATAACTAGTAACCAAAGCAATAACGCTAACTAAACAGATAATATTTAGTTAGCATGGTTGTTAAACTATAGAGGAACTTGTCTTTTTTCTTTTCCTTTTTTTTAATATATCGGTCAGTTATTAACATCTATTATTCCCGAAAATTGCTAATGCTCTGGAATCTTATATAAATAACACCACATTATATGAAAATAGAAAGTATTGATAGCACAAAAGGCAAGAAATTAATTATTTACTTACTATAGAAATATTTATAAAAAATCCCCAAAATATCATTAGGATAATTTAATAACTTTTCTTATGTTAATTTATTGCATGAATTTTTGGAAAAGAATCAATTTATATGTAAATTTTAAGGTATAATAATGGTATAATAAAATAAAATATTAAAAAACACATTTACTTACTATGAAAGGACATTTTTTTAAACAAAATCAAAAGTAATAATGAAATGAGAGACATTACATATATTTATTATTTGTGAAATGTTTACTTATTGTGAAAATCATAATAGCAGTTGCTATTTTAGTCAACCATAACAAGTAACAAAAAAATTTAAATGTGGTGCTTTATTCTGTCTAGTCGAAATTTATGACGTTGATTTTTTTATTTATAAAAACTCAAAGAAAAAGCTTTTACGAAAATTGCACAAATGTTGAAGTATAAATTAATAAAGAAAGAAGTCATAAAAGCATCCTAATTTAATATTTTTTACTAATAAATCTTTGGATATTATTTATTGAGAATAGTATGTAATAATTTCAGTTACAAATTGAAAATCGTATGTCAGCTTGAATTTAACACGAATAAATTTTCCTGCAATGAATAATCATGATTTTCCATTTCGTTTAAGTCAACAAGAAAGTTATGATAGATAGATTTCACGATGAAGTCCCATCTCATGCCACAGTATGCAACCGGTTTAATGATATCAAATGTAGTCAATCTTGATTTTCCATTTCGTTTAAGTCAACAAGAAAGTTATGATAGATTTCACGATGAAGTCTCATCTCATGCCACAGTATGCAACCGGTTTAATGAGATCAAATGTAGTCAATCTTGATTTTCCATTTCGTTTAAGTCAACAAGAAAGTTATGATAATTAGATAGATTTCACGATGAAGTCCCATCTTATGCCACAGTATGCAACCGGTTTAATGAGATCAAATGTAGTCATATTAATCCTGCGTGAGGCATGACCTTCTACGACTATTGAAAAAACATCAAAAATTTGTGGCATATAATAGAGATTGACAAAAGAGTTGTGCCGGTGGATACCTCATAATTTGATCAAGGCCTAAAAACGACGCCTTCGTGTTATTTGATACCGTGAAATGATTTAAAGATTTAACGAACGTTGATTCAAATGCTGTGTTCGACATACTTATGGGTGACGAAAGCTGAATTTATGCTGTCTGTACAGTGAGATCTTTGAAACTACACAACAATAGGGATAACGACTGGGTAAAAAAATGCAATTCTATTTAGTCCGTCAGTCAGATAATAGAAAAATATTAAATACGTATTTTTTTTTACTTCAATTTAACCAGAAATAGCTTAGATAACAGGCATTAAAGATGGTGGGCTCTCTACGTCACAGTATTGTAAATAATTTACCAAAGCGTGGCGTCATGTGACATTTTAACTCAATGTATCGCCGTAATTTAATGATTACAAAAAAAAATGTGTTTATTTTTTCTCAACAATCTTCCTGACGGAAAAACAAACAATAATTAGTCGTCATCCCTATTCAAGAGGTTTATATGTATAATACAGGACACGCGGGAGAACTGCTGGCAGAAAGCTAGTCAACAATAAATCTTCAGTAACATATTTTCCTATGCTTATTTTCAGTACGTTTCCGGTTAATGGACAAGGTAGCCTAATTGCCAAATTTCAAAATCTAACGAAATCTTTTTCAAAGGTACGACTATTCTGAGAGCGGTTTTTAGAATTATATAACGTTTAAAGTTGCAATCGCTTTCAGAACTAAGATGAATGATCAAGAGACAATAAAAAATTAGTAACTTATACTTAAAGTACTATTTGCGTCTAACGCTTATAAATATCAAATTAAAAGGGATTGCGATAAAATTTAATATTAGACAACAAGCCCTCGGGTCAGAATTAATAAATTAAAACATGGAAACTACACATTACACTAAAACAAATACTTATCTACTGAGAATAAAAAATGCTGTTCTTATCACACTAAGGAATAGCGAATGAAGAA